GCTGATCACATGCCTAATTCCTTCTATTGATTCTGTGTCGCCACTGTCAACGCGGAGTTTTTAGCTGAGTACTCAGGAACTATCCTAAAGTCGTCTGTATTAACCTATATGTTATATATTTGTCGTCCGACTAAACCATACAATTTTTGTATAACAATTTTTTTTTTCTCTCTTACTGATTTAAAAATCCTTTTTCAGGATTAAAGTACACATTAATACGTGTCCGTGAGATGGAATCTATGCTGAGAACGACAAAATATTTCGAAATTGAGATCTTTTTTAGCATTTCTTAGCAGTGATGCGAATTCCAGCCCGCTTGCAGCACGGTTAATAACATGAAGAGGGTATAAGAAGGTACATACACTACGATGAGTTCATATTCATGTATACTTGCGTTGTGTGTCCGCCTATGTCCTCTTCATGCTATTAACCCTGCTGCAGACGGGTTGGAATTCGCATCACTATTTCTTAGTTCAATATGACGCTCCAGAATTGTCACGTCGTGACAACATTTGCTTCATATTGTAAGATAGCTCCTTCATAGATTATAAGTTTAGTTTTCGCGCCTCATCGCTGGCAGCGCTTCGATCACTCGCCATTTGGCACACGATTGGTCGTGCCTTGCGATTGGCCCGTCGATAATAATACCTTTTCGGATTGGTTGACTTGCGATAGTGGCAGAAGGAGCGAGATCCTGAGCGATTCCTTTGTACAGGATATATGTGTAGTCCTTTACCAGACTTCGAATAAAGTGTGTGTTTCATATAGTGAATAACGTATATCACGACTTGAGAATTGTACGCCCTTTTTTTCCAAGGAGTTTCCTAAATTATCCCTCCTTCAGATTAATCCTGACAACATTCCTTTCCCTTTCGAAACGTTACTATTTCGGAAGTCATACACGTGATCGTGTTGCTGCCTTACAACATCTATTTTCTCAGAAGTGGGATAGGAACTATCCACCTCTGCTATGCCGTACCGCGATTAAGTGTTGTATGGAAAAAAAACTCTTTTGGCTTCACAAATACTAGTGTTTTATGGTTCGACGGATGACGACGCAGATCGTTGGTTGCGTAAAGTTGAACGCGCTGCTGCTGTTCATGGGGTTAACGACAATGTAAAACTACTAGCCGCAAATGGCAAACTACAGAAATTAGCAAGAGATTGGTATGATATGGAAGAAGAGTCCACGGATTCATGGTTCACTTTTAAGGAAGTCTTCATCAAAAGGTTTAGGCGACAAGTATCTTTTACAAGGGTGATTCAAAAAGCGGAAACTTGTCGTTGGAATTCCTCTAAGGAAGATTTTTTGGACTACGCCGCAAGGAAGATTAAGCTATTTCAACCTCTGCACCTTGAGCAAAAAAGTATTATCAATTTGTTGATTGGAAGAATCCAAGATTACGCTATTAAAAGTGCTGCTGCGATGATTTACATTGAAACGGTCAACGAATTCCTGGAGAGAATGCATCAAGCAACCAATATATGTGCGGCGGCAACGAAGAAATCTTCTCCATCTTCGGTAAGAAAGGAAAAAACAAAAGAACGTGATACACCTGATTCGCCATCGACGAAAGCGATTCACTTTGGAAAACCAAATCAGATGTCTCGTGCGCTTATTTTAAAGCGAAAGGTCATGTTAAGGCTGACTGCTGGAAGCTCCGCTGAGACGGAAGGAGAATGCCTCCCAAAACACATCGACCAATAATACCGTGGCAGCTGCAAGGGAGACCACTGAAATGGAACACGTCAACCAAGGACGACTTAACCAAGAAGCCAACGAACGTAGCCTGCGTCGGGGATGATGGGACAACACAAATTCAAATGAAGAAATCAACAGTTAAGGTTAATTGCATCGAAGGGAAAAAGTGCGATCTACTGGCCCTTATCGATTCAGGTAGCCCAGTATCATTTATACAAAGGTCAGTTTGTAAACTCCTTTTCGGTTCGGATTTTCCTTATAATGCAGTTACTGTCCAACGCACGCTAAACGCTTTGCAAATCAAGGTCATTGGCCAAAAAGATATCGGAATTCGGTTAGCCGAATTGTCAGAAACTTCTAATCGAGTTACCTTTAATATTATTGACACAAATAATTGGTCTATACATTTAATACTCGGTACAGATTTTTTGTTTAAAAATGATTTATCTCTAACTCTAAAAAAGAAAGCTAAAGATAACTTAAAGTTAATAAATGAAGTTGCATCAGCAGACATAATTAAGATAGATGATTTTCCCATCGCACTTTCGGAAATCAAGACTGATTTTGGTCATGATGTTGATAAGCGAACATTACGACATTATAAAAGAAGCATATGACAAACCGATAGAAAAACAAGAAAAACTTAAACCAGTCACAGTATCGCTTAAAGATAATTCGATCTTCGCGTATGTCCCTCGGAAGTTTGCATGGATCGAGCGGCTGCAGATCCGCGAAATTATAGAAGATCTGTTGAAATATGATATCATTAAAGAGAGTTGTTCACCATATTGTTCACGTATTGTACCTGTCCGTAAACGAAATGGGAATTTACGATTATGTGTCGATCTTCGTTCCTTAAATGACAGGATAGTGAAACAGAAGTATCCTTTTCCAGTCATAGAAGACTGCCTATCTCGATTAGCTAATAAAGCTAATAAAGCTAATAAAGCTAATATAGCTATTGTAATAAAGCGTTTTTACTCTTTTAGATTTGAAAGAAAGCTGTCACGCTATTCCAATATCTCCAGAGTTCACAAAGTACTTATCTTTCGCTACGCCAGAAAGACAATATGAGTATGTAAAATTACCATTTGGGTATTCAGAATCTCCTGCAGAATTCCAGAAGCGTTTATTACGCGTTTTATAATAGGAATATTAATACGTCAAGATGAAGTATTAGTTTATGTAGATAATATTCTGATTCCGACTGAAACCGTGGATGAAAATCTAAAGATTTTGTCACGTTTGTATTTGTTAAAACAACATGCTTTTGAAGTCAATTATAAGAAATGTCAATTTCTGGGGAAAAAAAAAACGATTGAATATTTAGGATATATTTTGACTAAGCAAGGAATTACATCGAGCGAGCGGCATGTAGAAGCCGTTAAAAAGTTCCCAGTGCTTAAAAATATTCATGAACTACAGAGATTCTTGAGTTTGGTTAGCTTCTTTCGAAGATTCGTTCCTAGATTCGCCGAGATAGCTAGACCACTCTATTCATTACTTAAAAAATTAGTAGCGTTTGAGTTTAACAAACAGTGCATAACAGCATTTGAAAAACTAAAGTCATCACTTGTTACCTTTCCAATGTTGCAGTTATATGATCCGAGTCGCGAAACGGAATTATACACGGATGCAAGCTCAGTTGCTTTAGCAACAATTCTTTTACAAAAGCAAAATTCGGGATTGTGGGCGGCAATTGCCTATTATAATCAAGCAACGAATGCAGAAAGCTGTTACCATTCGTTTGAACTCAAAATGTTAGCCGTTGTTAAAGCGATTGAGAGATTCCATATTTATTTATATGGCGTTAAATTTACCGTAATTACCGATTGTCACGCAATATGCGATTAATAAAGCAAATTTAAATCCGCGTATTGCGCGCGGACTATTCGGTTACAGAGTTATATGACTTTAATGTACAGCACCGACAAGGGAACAGGATGATGCATGTAGATGCGTTAAGCCGCATAGCAGCTGCGGTTGAAACTATTCCGCTTGAAAAGAAATTACAATACCGACAGCTATCAGACCCACGAATTCGTACAATCGTAGATCACCTTGAAGAATCAGAACATGATAAATTTATGTTAATCGAAGGACTAATATACAAAAAAGACGACGATAAGTCTCGCTTTTATGTACCTGATTGTATGATAACAAATATTTTGCGTGTGTATTATGATAATAATGCCCATTGCGGAGTCAAAAAAGTAATACAGGGATTACGAAATGACTATTAGTTCCCGTCTATGCGTAAACAAGCTCAGTCTTATGTGGACAATTGTTTGGTATGCCTTGTAGCTAACTTATCAGCAAAAGAGGGTGAATTACAACTAGAAGAGACCCCCAAACTTCCCATGCATACTGTACATATAGATCATTTTAATAATAAAGTTAAAATTAATTTTGTTTCGAAGTAACACTATTGATTTTTTTTTTCATCGCTGTGTAGTCTGAATCTTCTATCTGCATACGAATTTCAATTATTTTAGTTATCGTGAAGTTAGTTCGTATAAAGACGTGTTTTAATCCTATGTTAAGAAAGAAATAGAACGCAATTTAGAGCAAAGTTGTGACATTTCGTGAAAAGTAACGATACATCGATCATCAACAGATATTTATAAAAAATCGATCAGGATTTTTCTCAAAATCATTCCTTACTCTAAATTGCATTTCATTTTTTTTTATAACACGGAACACAATATTTTGACATGAACAAGCCCAGACAGCAACGTATTTATCTTGTTGCTTGTAAATAAATGTATTGTTACTAGAATTGCTGCAGCTAAGTCTGTATTTGTTGGCAATCAATGTTTTCATGATATGATAATTTTAGACAGTAACTTGCCAATAACTTTAAAATTCTTCATCATCAAAATTCATGCTATGTTGCTATAATAATCTAGGATCGCACAATATAAATTGTCGACAATGTGAGATAAATGTTGTTATTTAGCTGTTTGATACTACTATTTTGCTATAAAACTGCTGGCAATATACACATATATATATATACAGTGTTGCCTGTATTCAGCGTATTGCTACAATATTGGTATATTTGAAATCATTGAAGACAAATATACAGTTAGTTGCCAGCATCATAAGCATTCACGCTTGAGCATCTAGCAACTTGAACAATGACTGTACACTTGACAATTTACTTTTTTCGTATAGGAGATTCAGATTACATAGCGGTGGGAACTGCGGGGAATAACAACTTATAATGTTGTCACTTTAGTGAAAGCAAAATTATTTTTGAAACTTTATTGTCACTCTTCATGCGTAAATAAATTACCTTGGTAATATTATCGTCTTCATCAGCACTATCATCTGCAGTAGATGGAACACGTGCACTTAATCGACTAAAAACTGTTTTTGGTTCTGCATTAGAACCTTGCCAACGTCGTTTGCCTCCTGCTAATTCATTATTCATGAACTCTGTTATAGCTCTTCGACGATCTTCTTGCAATAGTCGTTTTTGAGGTATTCTAGAAAAGAATAAATCAAACTAAAGGTTTGTTTTGTTTTCTGTTCCTCATTAATTGCACTAGTTCAAGAAGTATACACTACTTGAACCGTTTAAACCAGAAAACACAATGACAATAGGAGCAGGAAATAACAAATTACAATCTATCAAAAACTATATATATTAGAACGGATGCTTTATGATAGATTGAAATCTCTTATTCCATGTTTCTAACTTTTCATTGTGTTTCCAGCTTTACTGTTCTTAAAATGACGTCAGTGATACCACCGACGAGATACTATTAGGCTACGTCCGAGAATATACACCGAATGTTTCCAGGTATCAATTTATCCTTATTTAACATTTGGTGAACAATAAGGAATGATACTTGGACTACAGAGTGAATAAAAGATGTTTTTTTTTTTAAGAAGAAAACATTGTTTTTTTGTCTCTCAAAGATGTTTTTAATGCTTCATACATGTTTATGAAACAGTATCATAAAAAAACATGTTTAAACATGTTAAAAACATTGATTAAGCATGTTTTAAATAGTTTAAAACTGATTTTTATCAACTTAAGACACTCGGTGCGTATTTCCCAAACACAGCTTTAAAGACGGCCGGCCGTGGGCAAAGTTTGTGACAATAGAGTTCCGGGGTTTGAAGATAATTGAAAAACAATGACATATTATCGACAATTGATATAAATTTGCGATTATTGACATAAATATTTGAATAAAACATTATTAAATTTACGATTTTTTATTACATAAGTACTGCATAAATAAGTATATATACTTGTAATATTATAATATCTTATACATTACTGCAAAATTACAATTTTTTTTCTCTATAGTTATCATCTCTATTGATAATCAAATTTGAACAATAACATTAAAATTACAGTTTTTAAATAAAAATCGTGTTATTCAGTTTTAAACATACATATATAATACATATCTACAAAACTAATAAAATTAATGCTATATTATTACGTTTCTTACTTTTAGTCATTTATATTTTAACAGTTACGTAAACTTCAGTGAGATCGGCAGTCTTTAACAGTAGGAATATCTTGTCGGTGGCAATACTAAGTCTGTTCTTTTTAGCTAAAGTTCTTACACAATTCATCTTTTTTTATTTTCTCTCCATGTTGGAAAGAAAGAGAAAATAAACCGTGCAAAAAGTTCAGCTAAAAAGAACGGGCCTAGTGTAAGCACTAATAGTCCGGGAACTAATAAAGATTTTCGTTACGTAATTTGATACTGACTGAAAATTTTTATGCTGTTAGTTTAAGTCTAAATAATGGAAAAGAGAAAAGTTAATGCCTGGCTGTCCGAATCGGCCGCAATACGGAAACGCACTCCGCCTGAGTCGTTAAAAATCTCGATGCATAAACATCATTTGATATCGCCTGAAACTTCTTTGGATAGTAGTGCGAATATTAAAAAGTAGTACCTAGCTGCGCAAAGTGGTTGCGCAAGTTGCTCGGTTACGGGTCAAACATGTCAAAAAATAAGGTGCTCTTACGTCATTTAATACTTTTTTTGAAGAATAAGTTTATAAGAAAGAAGTTTTTAATCGCCCATTAACATTTTATAAACGTTATTTCAGTTATTAAAAATCTAGAAATTATGTGCCTATAATTTTATGTGAAAATGACAATCTAACAGTCTTCCTTTGTATTTCTGAACTCGATTTTGCAGATATTGCAGGTATTAAATTCGATTTTGCAGATACTGGTATCAAATCACATAGACTGCGTTCCACCTAACACTCGCAATCATAGACGTAATAAGAATAGACCGAGTGTTCTCTACTTTGGTATAAAGATAGAAGAATTAGGTAAAAAAGGCCAGAGCAAGGTCATAGCGGGACGGAGCATACATCCTCCCTACTCTTTCCTAGTCAGAAAGAGAAACTACACGGCATCCATTGTCCGTCCTTTTCTACCTAGTCTTCACATTTCAAACCTCACGCTCGGTCTATTCTTATTATGTCTATCCTTGTAACACTCGCAAGCATCGTTTATCCTTGTTTGACATTTGATAATAACAACAAGGATGAAATGATTCCACGAGCGTTGTGAGTGTCAAGTGGAACGCAGCCATAGAAAGTCGTCACTAACTCCTAGACTATAATGTATACAAGTTCAGCCATATAAAACAGACTTTGTACAAATACTGCAGTCTATAAATAATCTAAAAATAGATAAATGATACTAAGCCTACATATAAAAATATTTTACACCATTATTGTCTTTATTATTAAGAATAATGGAATTGCATTAATATTTTCTATCTTCATCACCCACAAATCTAATATTTCAATATAAACAATAGGTTTCTTTTTTATTGCTGAACTTTCTGAACTAATGTAATAAATGTATATTGTAATGAATGTATAAATGTTCTTTATTGCAAAATTTGTGTCAATAGCTGTTCTTTATTGTAATATAGGAAAATTCGGTGCAAAAGTTCACTGGTTGCACTAGACTTAGAGTCAGTGCAAGCGGTGCAGGATACCCAGAAATGGCTGTTCAGCGAAACACAACTATTACATATATATATTAATAATATTGTCTAAATGTAATAATATATGCCATCTGTATTTTTTACTATCTTTTATTATCTTTAATTAAGATTGTGAAAATAGTGGAATTGCAATTACATCTTATTCATTAGATGAATCTAATAATTCTAACAATACATGATTCATGTTCACCATGATTGCATTATACGTTTTTTATTGCCTATTTATACTATGCCCTTACTCAGTTCTAATTCAGTTCAGTTCTAGTGCAATTCTAGTGCTGCAATAAAAAACAAACGTAATATGAAACATCATTTTATCTTGTATTAGAATATTTTTATTTCTTGCCTATACACTTACACTCATCAATTTTGAGATCTATTTTCTGTAGCTGAACCAGTGTACACTTTTGGAACTCAAAGTGAAATAGATGTTTGATATTTGTCAAAAGCGAGAAAGAGAGTTCTAGTGCAGTTTAGTGCAGGAATAGAAAAACAGACCATTTATTTACACTAATTCAGTTCATTGCAAAGTCTGTTTTCTGTGACTAGTTAAGTATAGTACCTCCATAAGTTTAGGAACATTTTACGTTTTACAGGAAAGCCATTACATAGCGATCAATAGATGTTTTTGGTTTAATACGTCTAAATGATGATAAACATTTATCTAGAACACCTATAAGCTTGTACATGCCGAGAATATGTTGGACAATCATTTCACAGCATCAAAATTTCGCGCTTTGGTCTATTGTTTATGTGTATATTGTCACTTGTTTGGCAATGTCATATTTGTGTTCTTTGTATATATACAGATTATTTAATTGTAGTTTAATGGTTTCTATAAAAGTGGTAAACTATTTGAATCGCAAGTTGATTTTAGACTTCGTAAAAATTGAAAAATAGTCTCGAAGAATTAGATTTCATATGAATCGCATTTTAATTAAAATTCCATATTTTAATAGCATCTTATTAAATCTTTAATGATGAATCTTGAAAAAAGACAAAATAAAAGTACATACATATGTACATTATAGATAATGTACGTATGTATTTTTATTTTCTTTTTTCAATTAAATAATTATTTGCAAACCTGTAAAACATAGAGTGTTCCCAAACTTATGCAGGATACTGTATATATCTGATATTTATTGAAAGAGAATTCTAGTGCGGTCTAATGCAGGAAACAGACCACTAGTGCAATCCTCATACAGGGATATAATAACAAATCTTAAATTACATATATAAAAACAAATCTTAAATATTACATATATGTTAAAGAAAACTGTGTCTTCCAACAAGCGACACAATGCGACACAGTGATCATGTCATCTTTGTTTAACATTGATAAATAACAAGGATGTAATGATCTATTGTGTCACAGTGTCATTTGTATCACTTGTTGAAAGAAACTATAACTGATAAAGAATATATGAATATATTATTTAACACATACTTATATATGATAGAAATGATATAAATGTGATGATACAACATACAAATGTAATACACATAGTATAAAAATAACAATTAGATAAAAGTGTAAGAAAGCTCATGACAATAAAAGTTACATACTGCAATACATAAATTGTTAAAATATTTCAACAATTTTATTATAAAATGTTTTTAAAAGTATTTAATAATTTAATATGAATGAATCTAGAAAATAACTAGATTTTTTAATGAAATATAACCTAGACTGCAATGGACCACTTTCGCCATCAGGAAGATCACGGCCCAAAATTTTACGAATGCTACGATCGAGACCACGAAGTCCATCGCGGGCAACTTCTAACTGTGCTTCTAATCTGTCGGCTCCCCATAACTCTTGACAATCTAACTTCCTCATTAGAAACTTTTACACTTAATAACACAGAAAACTAATTTCTTCAACAAAGAATCGAAATAATATCGACACCAAAGTTGATCAACGATCGGAGAAATTTTATTATCTTCCACACACAAATCGTGAATTGGACATAGATTTAGTAAGACTAGATGAACATTATTGACCTCTGTCATGTCTCCGGCACACCAGCGCCACAGTATAATCATAACCAGTAGTGACAGTGAATTTTTTTGTGATCTGCAATTTTTAGTGCGCATATATCGGTTTGTACACTTATGCCCATTTCCATCAATACAGATTAACTTTAATCTCGTTTCAACTTACTCTTCATCTTTTTTTAATCTTTAGAACTAGAAAAAGACGAAAAGTTGAACTGAGATTAAAGTTAATCTACATTGGTGGAAACGAACGTTACGAATATGGCGGCCGTATTAGAAGCTTAATAGAAATTCAAATTTAAGAGCCTGTTTTATCATAACTCTACTGTGTACACTTCACAATATGGCGATAAATCATGTGACCTAAAAATTTACATTAAGGTGCCGACGTTCAATGTCGCTACTGGATATGATTATACTGTGCCAACGCGCGCGACATGCGATATCCAATGAGTGTACAGCTTTACCGATGTTTTTATTCTGAAAGTATACTCTCATTGGACATCGCGCTGGTCTGCCAGAGCATTAAGGTACATTTTTACGTGCTGCTAAAATAAGCAATTCGAGCGACAGATTTATTGCTCGTTATCCAGCGGCTGAAATTTTGTAATTTGAACAGTTTTAACTAATACAAGCGTCAACCGCTCACATTGACATACTGTATCGACCGTGTAGACCACTGTTGACTGCAATATACATAACCTAATTTATTCTTTTTTTTTATTACTGATCCAGATAGAGGATTTGATGCAATCAAAATAATCTAATAATTGTTTAATTCAGCGTATTAATATCACAAATGATACATGAAAAATACAAACAAACAAACAACATTCGAATCTGTCGCCCGAATGTCAAATTTAACGCTTCTTACCCTTTTTTATGTATAAATTGTTGTATTAATAGTTTTGATGAAAGTCATCAAGTGATTTTTTTGTCGCTGAAACGGCCAGTTTGAGCAGCTCGTGAAAATGCACCTTTACACGGCATGCTTTACGCCGATGTTATGGGTGCTTTCCAGCAAGAATACAGTTAAACAGAGAATCGTTTCATTCTTGTTTAACATAGGCAAATAACAAAAATGTAATGATTCACTGTACTGTGTCTAACTGTGTCCTTGTTGAAAAGCACCCTATAACATCGATGTTATGAAACTGGCCAATCATATTTCTTTGAAGAATGAAATGACTGTGATCTCAGTTGGCCAGTTTTATAATATCGATGTTATAATTTTGGAGTAAAGTGTACTGTGTAAATGAAATAATAATTAAGATATGTGTTCATGGTATCGCTCGTCGCTCATATTCAGCGACAAATGATTTTCACATAATTTTATTTGTTAACCTCAAATGTCACTTATATAAATGGGCTAGTAGCGATATATTTTATTAATTGTAATTATATTAATTGTGTCGTATAAAGTTCAAAATATCATATGAAAAAACGATATTATCGTTGGGCCTATCAAGTTGATGCGATTGTGCACAACAAAAATAAAAATAATGCGAAACTACAGCAAAATAGATTAATAGCATCTGTATGCATTAATAAATGTACAAATTTCAAAAGAAAATATAAAAAAGAGATTTTGGGTACTAAAAAGGGTAATAAAAAAAAATTATTATTAAAAAATTATCAACGAATAACCGGTTATATGCTTCCATACATTCATGAATCGAAATGCTCTTTTTGTCTATGATCATTTCACATATGCCATGAGTATGTGTACAACAGCTATCTGAAAATTTCATGAAATTATCGCAAATAATAAATAATACAATAATTAAATAATAATATAATAATTAAATAATAATAAATAATACTAATAATTTAATAATACAATAATTAAATTAGCATAATATATTGAGCGATCATAAAAAAAAGTTGATATAAATAAAATTGGAAATAAAAATAAAAATAATCAGAGTTAAATGAGATAAAATCGCAAGCCATAAATTGTTTATTGATAAGAAATTTGTATTTATTTTATTTTTTGTAATAATTATTTAGAATACGGACATCACTACAAAGCTTGATAAAAATATATTTATTTGACACATTTTTACTCAAAATGAAAGAATTTGGCAGAAAAACATAGTGGTATACTTCATGAAGCGAATTATTAAATGTTAGAGTTGGGCTGCGTTTGGAAATATTACTCGAATACTCCCACGTATTATTTTATTTTTGTGTTTAACATTGGATAATAAGATAATATATGAGGACACTTAGGTGACGTTTATATTACGCAGCTCTAATAGCTATTCAGATAAAGAAAACTCTTTTTCTTAATCCGAATAATCGCTTCGTAAAGCAGACTATCGCATTTTTCTATTTAATACTTATACATTCTCTCATTTCGAATGAAAACTTATCGAATGAATATATTTTTATCAAGTTTTATGATGATATCCATATTCTAAGTTTACATTCCAAAACGTTCTCTCCGAGGAAAATTTTACGAAATACTGTAGTATATGTACGTTATATGTCTTATATATACTAGTATTATAGTAAAATTTTATTCAAAATATGTATAAGACATGTAACGTATACTACAGTATTTCGAGTAAAATTTTTCTCGGAAAGGATATTATGGAATATAACTTAAGTAAATACTCTTATTATACTTACATCCTGCTATTCCATGTTTAAATCTTTGCATAAGAGCGATGTCGCTAAAAGTTGGATTAATCCAACTTTTCAACGGTATCGCTAGCGACAAGAGCTGTGTTCAACGCTTATAATAATCGTGAAATTATTCCATCCTTGTTACTTATCAAATGTTAAATAAGGACAAACGACGATCGCGAGCGTTGCAAGCGTTAAATGGAATGTAGCCTAGATAATAGATAAATTGAGTGAGAATTCAGTCACGTGATCATTTATCGCTGCGATAAGCGACATCATGAAATTTTTATACATAAGTATAAAACCTTTATACATAAGTAAAGATACTTTTACATGAAAGCATCAAGTTTAGAACAGATTTGTTACTTGCACTTTTTGCACTTAACATCTTGGCTTTCTCTCTTTCCAATATCTAAATATGTATCTATCTCATTTTAAATGCATAATATTTGGAGATTTTAAGTAATGCGAACAGACTTCATAGATTACATTCAGCAAATTCAATTGGGATCCTTTTCTCGAGCACATATGAATAATTTTCGCATACGAAAAAGATAAAGTTTCTCGATTGTGATTGGTCGATTGTATACGGAATTGCTATTATCAAGAATAGAGATTTGTTCGCGTCAATTTGTATGCTTCAACATGCTCCAATGTGTTTCTGCTATAGCTCCTACTCACTTCAACGAGCGCGTTAAAGTGAGTAAATGCTATGGTAAGAGCATTTTGGAGCATGTTAGAGCATGCAAAGCAAACAAACTTAGAGCCCCTGTTGCGGAGCGGATTCGTAAGCGCTCGCTGCTATTGATGTATTCTTTTAGATCATTCAATGCGACCATTGATATATTTTTTATAGCGTTTTTCACTGGTAGAACTGGTACACACTCAGTGCACATTAAGCGTGGTCTACAATAAGGGTGACTTTTACCAAGCTCCGATTAACTTAACCAGTTCTAGTAGCTTTGCAGGATTCCAACTAAAGTGATGTCGGAGAATGTCTCCAGACAATGTCTCCGACATCTGTTTCTGCATATAGCACAATTGTATGAACCAAATATAGATTTATCATCTCCAGCCTTGAAAAATGGACAATATATCCTAAAAAAAGTGAATGTACTATGTAGTTTATATTCACTTTGTTAAAGGACAGTAGTGCGCGGCAGCATTTTGTGGATACAGATTTTCATGTTCTCTCTCAGGTTTCTTTCTGATTAAACTAACCGGAGCTTGGCAAAAATCACCCTTAAGCTGCTTTTTCATGATGACGCTCGATGCTCATTTTCAGCGTTAAAACAGATCACATGATCAAAATGGATGCTTAGTATTCGTCAATTTTTATCACGTAACCTGTTTTAACGCTCGAATCAAGAGTTCAGTGTCAGCATGAAAATGCAGCCTAAGTTGTTAATACACTGACGATTGAGATCTAGATAACAGAGATGCAACATAGAAAGGTATGGTCTAATTGGTTGTCTAAATTACGTAATCAGAGCATTAATTCACTATTGCATCTAATGCACCAAGATATAGCTTTGTAATGTACATACATATAGATTATATAGAAAAAAACTAAGATAATATGAAGTGTCAAAGTGCAATAAAAAACTATTATTATAGTGTAAATATTCTTATTTGTATGAATAAAAGAATATTTAGTATCGAACTTAATCTAATCTAACCTTTTCTTGACAGCTGTGTTGATTTTAGTTGGAATTACGGATGATATCAAATATAATTTTCGATTGGAATCCTTCCATTGATTTTCATTAAAATATAACTAAAATAATAAATATCGAAAAAGAATTCATTAAAAGAATTTTGTTTTGCAATATACTTAAAGATTAATTGATAACAAAAAGATTACCTCACAAAGATACTTTTCTTTCCTTGGATAATCATCATTAGTATCCTGTATATATTTATTCCAAATTATTCTTAACTGTTGATTCTTTGGAAACTTAAATAGATTAAAAAGATTCCTCTCCAAACTTGTAGGACATGATAAAGCAGCGCACTTACAAATCATTAAAACTACAACAGTAATAATAAACTTATTATTATTAAAAAAATGAAAACAAAATAAGAAAAATACAGTAATTTTATTTAGAAAATATTTTTTTCTTTTTCTAGTAATTTAACTTTCTCTACCTTTTGCGTCAACTGTCATTAGCTTATAAGGTTAGGAGCACTTATATTGAATTAAAATGGTGGTGGCTACTTAACCCAATCAACATAATGTCGCATCTCTGTTATCTAGACCTTTAACCGACGCCAGTCGCAATGCTTCACGACAGCCAATCAGGATGCCCCCATGGAGTGTATCGCCAATCACAGAATCATTCTCTTAAATCTGTTTGCAAATTTCA